CTACTACTACGACTACTACTACTACTACTACTACTACTACTACTACTACTACTACTACTACTACTACTACTTACTACTACTACTACTACTACTAACTACTACTACTACTACTACTACTACTACTACTTCTACTACTACTACTACTACTACTACTACTAATACTACTACTACTACTACTAGACTACTACACTACTACGACTACTACTACTACTACTACTACTACTACTACTACTACTACTACTACTACTACTACTACTACTACTACTACTACTACTACTACTACTACTACTACTACTACTACTACTACTACTACTACTACTACTACTACTACTACTACTACTACTACTACTACTACTACTACTACTACTACTACTACTACTACTACTACTACTACTACTACTACTACTACTACTACTACTACTACTACTACTACTACTACTACTACTACTACTACTACTATTTCTATTACTGTTACTATTACTATTACTACTGTGCCCAGATGGCGCGTGGGGCTGTCCCGTCAGTCAGCGCGCGGCGCTGTTGCATAACAGATCGCCAAGGCGGCGCCGGAGCGTAAGCCATGGCGCTGTCCTCAGTTGCGCGCCCCCCCCCAGGCGCCCGTCCGTCATCTGCAGCGGCAGCGCGGCGCTGCTACCGTCACCAATGTTCCCCCCTCTTCCGTCGCAGTCCTCCTTGCCCTCCTCCCCTTGTTCCTCCTGCTCCTCCTCCTCCACTTATGTCCCCCGTTCTATGTTGCGCAGGTGTGCGACGCGCGTGGCCCGACCTTGTATCGCCCTCCCGAGCGTTGCGTATCTCGCAATGTGTTTCTGTATGAAGCGTTCACACCAGTTGTCGCCTCACGTGCAGTTGGGCTCGGGTACGTCTCGGGCAACTGCCCCCTCACATCCGAGGCTGCGAAAGAACACAACGTTTCGAAAAATACGTCCAGAGCCCCAGGCCCCAACCTCCTGCTGCATATTTCGAGCCAGATCGACCTGCGATGGTCCAGGGCGCCCGAGGCCGCGCGAAGACGCCCGCTGCAAAAAACTGCAGCGCCCGGATCTCAGGACCCCCTTCGGTAATGTCGCCGTTGCCGTCGCCCCACAGGCGCCGCAGCGCCCCGCCGACGGGAGGCCCCGCTTGGCCCACGGGCGCGCGAACAATGCCGTCGTCCGGGAGGAGGACTCCGCAGGAGAGCGGCGAGGCCGAGGCCGTGGCGGAGGCCTCGCGGGGGGGCAAAGGTCAGGGGCAACGATCGGGGGGGGATAGGCATAGGGGGGGGGGGGGGCGCATCGACCCCCAATCGCCCATTGATCGCCGATAGGGGTCTGATAGCCCCATCGTGCCCAGGGACCTGGGGATTTGCGATTGGAGGCCTATCGCCGACCTGTCGGCGATGTATCGCCGACTCTAGGTCGATGTTCTCCCCCCTGTGCTGGCCCCCCCTTGTCGCTGCCCCTCAAAATGGAGGGGCTCGAAAGAAGACCCGAGGAGGAGGAGGAGGAGGAGGAGGAAGAGGAGGAGGAGGAGGAGGAGGAGGAGGAAGAGGAGGAGGAGGAAGAGGAAGAGCATGGGACCCAGGCAAGTTATCGCGTCGCGAGAGATTTGGGGGCCCCTCCGATTTGGCGGGGCCTCGGAGGGGGGGGGGGGGGTCCCTCGCCGGGCCCCAGGGCCACGACAAAAAGTGGCTCGGGAGAAAAAGAAGGTCAGCCCTGGGGCGCAACGGTTTGGGACTTCTGGGCCACGCGCAGGTCCAGGAGCCGCGAGGCCAGAAGAGGAGGGGAGAAAACCCAGGCCGCGTTACTTGGCACCTAAAGCATTTTCGATGATCCTCAGAACGCGTGTTAGCGCCAACGTGTGTTTGTCCATCGAGACCACTCAATACGACGCCGGCGATGCAACGATCTATTGGTGGGGCTGAATGGCGTAAGCACACATTGAGCCGACACACGCCTCGAGGATCATCGACGCTTGCATGTGGCACGTGCGGCTACGTGCGTCAACGCGTCTCCTTCCGGGCAGGGTGGGGCCTCATCGCCTCAGGGCCGCGCTGCGCGGAGGCCAAGCAAGTTCTGGGTGCCAGATAGCGCGGCCTGGGCTTGAGTCGGCGGCGAGCCCAGGGGGGAAGTGAGAAGGGGCGGGCCTTCTCAGAAGGCTCGGAAGCCCCCCGGCCTTCTGAGAAGTTTCCCAATTCTTCCCCGAAGACCCAGAGAATCTCTCAGAAGCGGTGGGGCTTCTGAGAAGTCCCGCCGCCTTCTGAGGAAGCCTTCTCCTTCTCATTTCCCCCCCTCGCTCGCCGACGATGGAAACCCGTGTCGTGTCAGACGTCCACGGCCCAGGCCGAGTGTCTCGAGGGCACTCCGTGCGGCGGGTCCCTCGCTGGGCGCTGGCCGCGGGGCCCGGACGGCCGGGCCCCGGGGAGCCGCTGCCCGCGGGGTGCGGGCGGCACGGGGCTGCGATGCCCAGGCTTAACATCGGACATGTCCCTCTGCGGGAGGAGAATTCCAAAACAGTCCAACAAGGACTCTGGGGACGCTTTTTTTCTACCACGCTCGACTATTGTTTGGGCTTGTTTCGGCAATTGTTTGTTCTTCTTCCAACACCCGCCTGTAGGAGGACGTGCCCGACCTCAGCCCAGACCCCCTCGCGTCGCGGAAAAGCACGACGGGCAGTTGTTGTATTGCTTTCGGCTTTCGGCTTCCAGGGGCCTTCGCCAGGCCGGGATGAGCGAGCGGTCTTGGGGAATGGATCGAGAGTTCCGTGGGTCCACGTCGTGGGAAAATCTTGGTGTCGGGGGTCGTCGAATATGAGACCAGGCTCTGCCGACAGGTGCCCCCTCTCAGGAGTCTCTGGCTCCCCTTTGGCCTCCTGGGGGCCCGAAGCGGCCCTGGGGCACCTCATCAGGCTCAGGGCTCGACGACAGGCCCGCTGCATCATGGGATGACGGGGCGGCATGGCCGATAGGTATTGACGTCTAGGGTCCGCATGGATGCCATGAAGGCGCTACAATGAATCGCGCATTCGGGAGACGAAGCGACGGAAGAGACGAAAGAGCGCGACGAGGTGGTTTTGGTTGGGCACTGCTTTCGAACTCCAGCGGTTGTAAAATAGCATTCGGGACGCGGCATGTGCAGACAATGTTTCAGTCAACAAGCAGTTGCTCGAAATCGTGGACGATGGGATTCGTGAATATGCACACGATATGTTCAGTGAATGTGGCAAGGGAAGTCATGTAGGACCCTGGAAAATGTAAGCCATATTGGGCGGCGAACACGACTCTGTTTAACGGTTGCTGTTGTTGACAGGAGGAGCCTTTCAGTATGTTACAGGGTGGGTGTTGGGGACCGTGGTTCCATCTATAGATGCAGCACAAACAAGCGCCCGAACATCACGTACGACGTTTCCCTTGACCTGGGTTCGGTGTTTGATCGGGCCCCTTCGCCGCCGCCGCGGCCACCCTCCCTCTTCGGCGGCGTCCTCGTGAGAATGTAGATCTGCCGTCTGGTAACTTACGCCACCGCGCTACTGCCTCCGAGGTTGTCGCCTCATCCAGACGACGTGCGCGCAGTCTGCTGCTCGGGCGGAGGCCTCGCGCCTCCCCTGCGCAGACGTAGATGGAGGCGGTGGACTCGGGATCGCGCGCCGGGGCCTGCCAGGCCGCACGGCTCCAGCAAGAGACGGCCTCCTCGAGAGCTGGGCCCTCAGAGGCTGGCTCCAGCCATCGGTGGAAGCCCGCAGAATAATTACCCAGCAGCTCCCCAGTGCTGAGTACAAAATACAAGTAAGCAGACCCCAGGCATGAGCGGAAGTCCTCTGGGCCTGAACCGTTCCACAAGAAGGGGCGTGGCGGTCCGAACCGAGCAGATCCCACGATGCCCTTGAATCAACCAGCGCATTTCTTCAACCAGAAACCCGAGCAACGGCCATTGGGAAACAGAGGCCCTGAGATCCGACGTTGCGACAAAAAAGGACCACGTCGCGGACAATCGCGACCATATCATTAGACCTTCTCTTTCTGCTGTATTGTTTCCGAGCCGCCTCGACACGTGAGGGCTCCGTTGCCCGAAACGAGGTAGAATCGACCGCTGCAAGAACGATGCAAGGCCCGGATCTCACGGGGGAGCTCGCCCCGATGTCCCGCCAGTTCCTCCCTCAGTCCCCTTTCTACGCTGTCTTCCGAGCTTTCCATGGTCGGGGCGTTGGCTGAGGAATGTGCCCAGGAGGCGTCAGACCCTGCAGGATTCCTGATCTGATGACGGCGGCGGTGATGTCCGTAGCCGGTCCACGATTGGCGGACCGCTGGCACCCAGGCCCTGGAGTCCTTATCCAACGCCAGAGAGTGAAAATGGGTGTCGCCACAGAGTGCTTTCAATGGGTGCTGAAAGATCCATTCATGGCTGATGTAGCGCCCATTCAGATGCTCCAGAATGGTTGGCACCCATTACTCGTTGGCAGACCCAGGCAGACGTGCGGCGCTCAAGCGCTGCCCGCCATCGATGACGCATCGCCCAGCCATCATCGCCCGCCTTACTACGTCGCGGGCCATCACCTGGGGTGAATTGAAAGCGTTGTGCGATCTTCCAAAATATGAATTCACATGTTTCCTTTCCCACCATGTGAATTCACATGTCGCGTGTGTCAAAAATCTGACTTCACTCTGTCGGTCTGCCAATCGAAAACACGACACTGCAATCATATAAAGTGGATGTTATACTACGACCTAGTTTACCCAAGACGTAGTCCGAGGGAGTCCAATTATACCAGGCCAGTGCCTGACTATGAAGTATGTTCCCAGAGCGCTGCCGAGATATGTTGCTGTCGCCATCGCTGCTGCTTCTACCACTTGCCGCTGCCAGAGTACCACGGCTGCATTTTGGGGGGCGTGGATTCCTGGCCCTACCCCGCCGTTGCCGTCGTCGTCGTTGACGAGGATCGATGATCCAGGGTTTCGCGAGTTTTAATGTTTGAGCGTGTTTTTGTTTACCGTCTGTTCTTGTTGCGCTCGGTGCACCCGGGAATCTCTGAGGACTTCGATGACATTGTTGGCCGATCGTCGGCGTCGTCGTGGCGAGGAGAAGGAAGAGGAGGAGCAGGAGGAGGAGGAGGAGGAGGAGGGAATTCCCCAATAAGGAGACGCACCTCAAATGGATCCTGCATGAGCCGATCCGGGTCGAGTGGAGCGAACTGATCCCGGATTGACGCCAGACTGATCCCACGTTGACGCAGGAATGGCCCCGTGACTGATCCCGGACGGACCATGGATTGATCCCACATTGACCTAGGACCGACCCCACACTGATCTTGGATTGACCCCAGATTGACCCCAGACTGACCCCAGACTGACCCCTATACTGACCCCAGACTGAACCCAGATGGACCTGGACTGAGCTCACACAGACCCGGGACTGGCCCTGGACTGATCCCACACTGACCCGGGAGTGACCCCAGATCTTACCCCGGATTGACCCTGGACTGATTCCACACTGACCCTGGATTGACCCCAGATTAACCCCAGATTGATCCAGGACTGACCCCAGATTGACCCCAGAGCCCCGGAGTGACCCACCGTGCCGGCCGACCTTCCCCGGATGGACCCCAGACGGATCAAAGTCAGCCGAGCCGAGCCGACCGCCACACGAGGTCAGCGCGCATTCTGGGGCGCCCAAGGGCGAACGAACGCATTGATATACCGAAGTATGATGTGGGGAATGAGGGCGTGGGCGGGCCGATCTGGTTTTCGGATTTACGACAGATGGCGTCTAGCCGAAACCTAACTTCATCGATTACATTATTCACGAGCGGAGAGTGCTGTGTTAGCCAGCGTGGACCGAAAGCAGTGTGTTCCTATCTGGAGCACAAATGGTGTGCAGCTTTGGTGGGTCAACAAAAACTGTGGTGCAATCCGCGTGATGCGATGGTGCAACCTACGTCTTGCAATCCAATCCGTGTTGTACCATCTTTGTTGTGCAATAGTTGTGGAACCATCTACGTGGTGCAATCTGCGTGATGCAATTCACCCTGCCGAACGCCGAACTTTAAGTTGTCAACTCCAATGCTCGCGCAATCATTCCACCCACCCACTCACCCTCAGCTTCGTTTGCTAAATTTCATGCGGCCACGATTGCGATGACTGCTGGGCGCCAGCTGGCGCATCGCTACGGCCGCGATAGCGCTCTCGCGCCGAGTGGTCAGCTAGTCCGGCGCGACTGACGCAGCCTCGGTGGCGCTGAGCGCTGGGGAATTCTTTGCGCGTTTCGCCAGCCACGCTGACGCGCGGGCATTTCAGTGCGAGTCCGTAATTTGGGCGGCCGCGATATCATGGTGACGCCGACAACGGCAGGCACGATGATGATCGTGACGGCGCTGGTGGCGACGATGACGATGACGACGGCAGGGCCAATGATCACGACGATGACGAAGCCGATGCTGATCACGACAATGACGATAATGGTGTCCACGCGTCGGCGATCAATGGTTTGGAATGATTTCGACATGCGTGCGGGCGGCCGACAGGCGCAACTGGCCCGCATGGTACTACTTGACAAGGATCGTGCCCCCCCCCCCCCCACCAGCATGCTCGCAAGGGCGTCCGAATGATTTCGACACGCGCGCGCGACAGGCCCTCTTGGTCGCATGAGATAGACATGTTGGGAATCATGATTTTCAGAATCCGCAAAAGCGCGCACGCGCAGACCAGTTTTTTGTTTGAAGAAGCACGCTGCAACATATAATGTGTTGTTATATGTGTTCGGGACGTTCGATTTCCCCCCCCCCCCCACTAAATCTACAGCTTTTGAAGGATTGCAGCATGCGCGCGCAACGAATCGCGCGTGTGCATGTCGCCGCATATGTTGCCATGGACGTTTGCAAATTCATGATGTTGTATAACAGGTGCGCGCGTATTTTTACTGCACGATGGTAAAAGGGGGAAACTGGTTTGGCCGGGATGCTTGTAATCATAGTTCGAAACCCCCAAAAAAACATAATCGCATGCAAATTGCCCATTCCCAGGGGGTGACGATAACTCTGCGGTGGGCATGGCAGATCCGAGTTATTTTCTTTTCATAAATGAGAATAACCCCATGCCGAGGATGATAAAGTACCCCCCCTTTTAAGTCGCTAGAGTTTTTTGTATCGTCGGCCTAGAAGGGTTTCAAATGTAGGCGGAGGGCGCGGAGGCCGAACTTCATTATCACTGGGAAAGTTCGCCATCGAGGTTACTTCCCTCTTATTTTGAGATAGCAACATCAAGCGAAGCGAACACGTTTTTTTCAGGATGTCTCAAGCGAAACCTCTCTCTCTCGTTCTCTTTTTTTCTTTGTGTTGCTTTCTGTTTCTCTCTCTCTCTCTCTCTGTCTCTCTCCCTGTCTGTCTTTCTCCTCCTCCCCCTGGCGCCCTGAACTTGTTTATCGTTCGGGTTGATTATCCTGGGAAAACTTATCACATGAGCTACCCTACACGAGCAGATGAACATTTTAATTTTCTGTAAGCGCTTACAAATTAAATCTAATAAGTTTTCAACTTTGGATGTTTGCTTCTACCTCCTGCTCTGCTTCGCCTGCTCTTTCTCCTTCTCATCAGTATCCTCTTCCTTTTCTTCTTTCTTTATAATTCTCGTTCTATGTATTTGTCTTCTTGTCTCCCTGCCCCCCTGAACTTGTTTATCGCTGGGGTTGGTTACCCTGGGAAAACTAAGCACATGAGTTACCCCTCCACGGGCAGGTGAACATTTTAATTTTCATTAAGCGCTTACACATTAAATCTAATAAGTTTTGAACTTTGGGTTTTTGTTTCCTCGTTCTTTCTCTCTCCTCTTCAAGGATGCCTCAAGCGAAACAAGCAATGATTTGAAGGATGCCTCAAGCGAACCGAGAGATGTGTCGAGGATGCCTCCAGCGAGGCAAGCAATGATTTCAAGGATGTTTCAAGCGAAATAAGCAATAATGCGAAGATTTCTCAAGCGAAACAGACAAATGTTTCGAGGATGCCTCAAGCGAAACAAGCAATTCGCTGAGGATGTCTCAACCGAGACAAATCATTGTTGAGGAAGTCTCATAGAGAACCAAAGACCAAGGATCCTCAAGATATTGTTGGCTCCTTCCTCTTGATATCTCTTTATGCTGGCTCTGGCGGGCAACTTGTATTACCTCGCCGAGAACCCCGAACTTTATTATCCCTGTGTGTTTATTATCCGCGGCATGGGGTTATAGGTTGTTAGGTCGCGCCATCAATGTTGCGCAGTCTAAGTTGTACAGCACATGTTGTGCAGCATCTGTGGTGCAGTATGCGTGATGGGCAAACTACGCGAGGGTATATACACACCTATATAAAAATATCTGGTACATTATTTGCTGTGCAATTTGCGTCGTGTAGTATATGTGGTGTGGCGATCGCAAGCACCCCATGCGTGTGGTGCATCTTTGTGGTGGCTATGGTGTTTGTACGAATTGACACATTCCGCTCTCTTGCAAACATCCCACCCACCCACCCACAAATTGGTTTGCAAAACATCACGCGGTAACGATTGCGATGGGTGCTTGGCGTTGGCTGGTGTATCTCGCTGGCCGCGCCAACCCAAGCACGCGCGCGCAGCGGCCAGCTAGTTTTGCGCGACCGACGCGGCCGCGGTGGCGCTGACCATTGGGCACATCCCCGCGGGCACTCCAGTGCGAGTCCGCGATTTGGGCGGGCGCGGTATCATGGCAACGTCGGCAACGGTAGGAACGATGATAATAGTAGCGATGCTGGTGGCGACGTTTGACAAAGACGACGACGCGGCCAGTGCGGGCGCCGATGTTGATCACGCCGGCGACGATGACGACGTCCTCGCGTCGATGATGAAGGTTTTGGATCGAGTTCAACATGCGCGCGCGGCCGACGCACGAGGGTGGCCCGCATGGTAATATTTGACACGCCCCCCCCAAAAAAAAACACGCGCAAAGGTGCACGATTGATTTCGGCATGCGGTACCAAAGGCCCGTTTGGCAGAATTTCATTAAAAGAAATCGCTGCGACCCCCAAGGTTTTTGACGGATTTCGGCATGCGCTCGCGACGGCGCGCGCGTGCATTTTTTGGGTTGCGCAAAGGGTTCCCGCGACGGCACGCGCGCAAGGGCTTTCGAACGACTTCGACATTCGCGCGTGCGCGGCCCGTTTGGTAGCATGTTATGAAAATTCGAAATCCCCATTTATTTTTCGAGTTCGCAACAGCGCGCACGAGCTTGTCTTCAATAGCCGTGTTGCGAAACCCCGTGTTTGCATGTGGCTCTTGGACGTTCGATGCTGAAATCCCCACGAACCCTAGGGTGTTTCAATGGTTCCGGCATGCGCGCGCGATGACGCGCGCGTGTGCACTTCGTTTCATTTGTTGCAAAGATTTCTTGGGAAATGAATGAATTTGGTAAACCAGTGCGCGCGCATGACATGTTTGGCAAAGGATGGCGGGGGGGGGGGGGCGGATACCGCCCCCCTTTGGGATGTTGCGACTTCATATCTACGATGGACGATGGTGCAGAATCATATGTGTAAGATGCAATGCGGAAAAGGGGGCCGATAAGCCCGGGGGGGAGGGAGACTATTCTCTTTTAAGAAATGAGAATAGATGTGGTTCGGTGACGGGGCGGCAACGGCGAGCACATAGCCGCCAGACCGTGCCAAGCCCTGACGACGGGCGGCGACACGGCGGCGACAGGGCGGTGACGGCGAGCCCGGAGCCGCAAGACCATCAGCCATGCCCAGCCCATTAGAACAAAAGTAATACGCCCGAAATACAAGCAGTGTTTTGGGAAAAAAGGACATTTGAACTTACATGTTGTTTTTGTCCAAAATGTGAATTAACATTTTGCGTTCTTCATGATGTGACTTCACATTTCGCGATTCCAAAAATTTGAATGCGCATCTGGCTGATTGCGACAGACGGATTTCGATGTGCTTATGCCGGCGGCTGGACGGTGCGTCGCCGCTAACGGACATCGTTTGATCGCCGCATCCTCGCTTCTGTCTGCCCACGAGTAGTGGATGCCAGAACCATGCCTGAGCAGTTGAACGGGCGATGCATACGCCATGATTGGATCATGCTGCACCCATTGGGAACATGCTATGGCGGACACCCATTTCCACCCTCCAACAATGGTTCCTTGTTCCAATGCTCTCACCGTGCTTTGTCTTCATGGGCTGGGGAGTCCCACCCGCCGTCGCTTCGGCACCTCGTCCCCCTGCCAGCGAGGGGGCGCCGAAGGTGGGGCCCTGCCTTCCGCGCGCAGGGCCCCTTCTGCGCCCACACCATTCCGCAGAGGCCAGCGAGTGTTGCCGATGTTGAGCGATCGTGTACCTCCGAGGGAAGTTTGGGAGTTGCAGGTTCGAGGTTCAAGGTTTTCGGGCGGTTTCGTCGGCTATCAGCAATTTTCCAGCCTGTCGGTGCGTTCCAGCAGCTGCGCCTCGCCGGGGGCTTTCCGGGAGTGCCCAGATCGTCTCGAACGGCCGCCGGAGTCCGGAGTTATGATCCGAAAACCACCAGGGCATAGGCTCCCGGCATTTCTGGAGGCCCCACAAGATCGACGAAGTCAACATTTGATGATTGTCATTCCTTCTCTTTGTTTCTCCTCCGTTTTCCGCCCTTCACCTACCTCATCCTTCTCATCCGCCTCCTCATCCTCCTCTTCATCATCCTTCCTTGCTTCCTGCCCGCCCTTCACTCATACCTCGTTTTTCGTCTCCTCCTCCTCCTCCTCCTCCTCCTCCTCCTCCTCCTGCCTTCCCCTCCTTGTCCTTCTCCCCCCCTTCCTCCACCGCATCATCATCATCAACAGCAGCATCGCAGTTGCATTCTCCCTCCATCTTCATCCATTCCAGTTGTTCCGCATCCCTCCTCCATCATCCATCCTTCTCCCTCTCACTTTCCGTACTGCTGCCCTCTCCAGGCAGGGGATGAGCAGCTCGAGGGCGCCGAGGACGAGAAAGAGGACTGGGGCGGCCAATGTCCGCGCAGTGACATCAAGGTTCGCCCCAATTCCCCAGGGAGGACGGGGCAGGGGATGGAGCAGCAGGACAAGTGCAAGAGAAGGGAGGAGGGGGAGGAGGACAAGGAGGAGGAGAAGGAGGGGTAGCAGGAAGAGGAGGAGCAGCAGGAGGAGGTGCAGGAGAAGGAGGAGGAGGAGAAGGAGGAGGGTAGTGGGAGGAGGTAGGAGGAGGAGGAGGAGGAGGAGGAGGAGGAGGAGGAGGACGCTGGCTCGGAGAGGGCGTCTAAGTCGGGGAGCGCCGTGACAGATTTCACCTGCTCCCGATGCGTCTCCTCTCTGCGCCAAGCGCCCCCAGACAATTCGTCATAATATTCATTGCGACGATCATTGAATGCAGCTATCCCGACTGTGTCTTGGACCCAGGGGCGGGTTGCGTCGACGGTCGAGAGATTAGAGGCAATTTAGCGGGGAGGACGAGAGCGCACTGGATGAGCTGCATGCCAGTTGCGCGCACCTTCATCCGCAGGCCACAGTGAGTCTTCTAAGTGGAAACAGCTCCGACAGAAGCGAGGCACGTCGCAGCAGCTGAGCTACGAACCACAAAATCGATGCTGGATCCCTTCTTACCTGCGTCGCAGGTGCACTCTGCAGACGCCAGGACAGGCTGCCCTCCGATCCTACTGAGAAGCCCGAAGCTGCAAGGGTAGAAACAGACATGTTAAAGTCCCCTGCGAGAGCCCATGGGAGCTTCAACGAAGCTAAAAGTGAGCCCCGCTCGGTAAGCCTCTGAATAGTAAGGCCGGTCATGTCTATATCCTATAGATGCGTAGGCATTAAAAGTTCTTGGAAGGTAAGAGCATCCAGACATGTGGATGCGCGCAGCAGTGAACTCATCAAGTACAACCGGACCATGAAATTGAAAATCAGAGACGCGATCGAGCTGAGAAACGAACGAGCGTGCTTGCGCGTGGCAAGGCAACAAAAGCCACTCGCAACTCTCGGAAGCTCTCTCTTGTCCTTGGATAGTCTGATCGTGGCAAGTGTTCCGAGCTGGGCCCACAATACTTCGAAGGTTAGACGCACGCGCTTTCTTGTGAAAGTTCAACAGCTTCGTTTTGGCAACGTGTGTTTCAACGAGGCAGAACAGGTGAGACAAAAAGTATCATCCTGAGCAGCTCCTGACACAAAATCCCATACGTTGCCTCCCATGGCAGCGACGTTGCCATACGACACATGAGTGAACTCAGCTGGCCCAGGGCGAACTTTGATCTTAAAAATGGAAGTCCCTAGTGAAGAGGCTGGCGCTGGAGCGGCCTGCTCTGCATGTCGTTGGGCTTCAAACTGTGTTTGAGAGATACGGGCGGCCCAAGCGGCGAGCTTCGCCCCGGAGGCCGCGGAGTCCTCGGCGCTGACGGCAGCGCGGGTAGCCCTTGCCACCTCCGAGGCGGTCCCGCCCTCGGCCTGCGACTGACCTGTGGCATGCGGCGCCTGCCCAGGAATCGCCAGTGCTGTTGCTGGCACTTCGGGATCATCGGAACGACGCATCTTGGTCATGCGCTCAGTGATCAGCTCACGGGTCTTCTTCGCATTCTCCACCCAGTTGGCGACCTCGTCGGCCGCGATGGAAAGCGACCCTTTGGTGGCTAGCAACTCGCGATGACGAAGACGAAGAGACTCCCACTCATCATACTCACACTCCACAGAGTTAAGATTGCCAAATAGACCAGCAGCCCCAACAATGTCGAACGGCTTCTTGACACCCTCCTCGTTTGGCGGGGCGTCCTGCTTCTTGGTAGAGCTGCCGATACCTCCCATGGCGGCAACTGCTTGTGTTGTCAATCCACGGGTCTGGGCTGCGGCTGCTACCTCCTTGGCTATCAGGGTCGAATCTGTGGCTGCTGCGAGGGCTGATTGAAGGTGTGCAAGCACAATGTCCTGGGACTTCTGCTCACCAACGGACCCCCGTGGGGACTGAACTGAATTGGTGCAGAGGCCCGAGTCCTGCTGCCATCTCCACGAACACCGCTGCTCTTACCATCAGCGAACGTGACGGACCGAATGATACCCTTGGGCGACTTCGGCGGAGCGGAGTAGATCGCCACAATTGTACTTCTGGCCACGTGATACAATAAGATCGTTACATTCCGATTGCCCGCAAGACTGGCATGTGGATCAGAGGCGTGGCATGGTGTGACGGCTAATCCTCGGCCTTAGCTAACCACGAAGCGCAGGATCGGGCTCCCCCTCCGCTTGCGGTTGTCCCTCAAGCGCCATAGGAAGGCGCCGAGGCTCGGGCACACCTGCCAAAACGACTTGGGCCCCAGTGGCTTGAGTGGGGGCGGTTCAAGAAGAGGAGGGGAGGAGAAGGAAGGAAGAGGGGGAGATAGGAGATAGGAGGGAAGCAAGAAGGATAGGAGATGGGAGGGGAAGGAGGGGGGAAGAACATGTTCTTTGGCACGCTGCGTTTGTCCACATCAAGGGGCACGGCCCAGGGTCCGATTCGTACAGTCCAGTGTTTGGCCCCAAACAAAATGGATGGAAAGCAGGACGCGTCGGACTGCTGTCTCGCGGGAAGATACCCCAGCCCCCGCGGCCAGGAGAGGATGTAGAGGAGGAGTCGGAGGAGAGGAGAGAGAGGAGGACGAGAGAGGAAGAGAAGGCGGAGGATGAGGAAGGGGAGGAGGAGGGCCGAAGGGGAATCGGCGCAGAAGCAGGGCGAGGGGGGCAGAGGACGAGGAGGGGAGGAAGAGGACGAACATGGGGAGGCGGAGGAAGGGGGCGGAGGAGGAGCGGATCGGCCCTCCGCGGACGCAAGGCGCACGTCCCTGACAGCCGTGGGGATGCGAGGCGACTTGCCGCTCCACAGCCCAGGGCGCCCGCCCTGTGGGCTCGTCGTTCCCCCCGAACCTGAACCGGGGGGTAAAGGACAAAACGGTTGCGGAAGGGGGGGCCGCGAGCCCCTGACCAAAGAAGAGCAGAACGGCACACACACAAAAGAAGTGTTGGCGCTCCGCGCGGATTTCTTGCATCCCCGCTGGCCCCCCCCCCAGGCGGCGCCTCCGGCGCCGCCCCTGGCGCGCTCCGCGCGCAAGGGGGAGAGGGTCCAGCCCGGATCCGAGAAACCCGCGCGGAGCACCGACACGTTTTTCCGTCCATGGCGTTCTTGTCTTACAGTCGAGGCGCTGAAGAAGGAACCCTTTTCGCTGGGGAGGGGCTCGGTGTTCCTTGATTGTTTTGCAGTTTGCCTCGGGTTTCCCTCCGGCTTCCCATGGGAAGTCGAAGTTTAATGTATGGGAAGCAGGGGCCTCGTTCTTTATTTAGGGTTCCTTAGGTCAACGCCCCGACTGTATCGTCTTCTCCAGTGCCGGAACCCACGTTGCATACAGGGCTGAAAGGAGGTCTGCGAACTCGGGTCCGAGCCTCGCAGCTGCTGAGGCGGCAGAGGCAGGAGCTTGAGTGGGCGAGGGCACAAATCAGGACGGGAAAAAACACAGACACGATTAATCGCCGATTTCCTAGGAGAATATGGGAAAATATGGGAAGTGGGGGGGAAGACAGAAGCCTAGAAAATGTGGGAAAATATTGGGGATCCGCTTTTTTGCTCTACACGACCGGGAGCAGCGCGGGCCTCTTCCGAGGGTGCCACCCGCGCCCCGGCACGGGGAGGCCCTGGCCGGCGGGCCGGCAGCAGGCCCGTGCGCCCCCCGCGGGTGCAGTGCCGCCGCGCCTGCCAGGGGCGGCCCTGTGCCAGGAAGTACCCCCTGGCTGGCCTCCAGCGATTCCCCCCTGGGTTTCTTTTTTAACGACACGAAGATCGGGACAAAATCGGATCGGGGTAACTGGAAATCTCTGAGAGTCGGCGGGTTTGGAGGATGTATCGGCCCCCGGCTGGCCTCCAGAGTTTACCATCCTCGAACGTATCCCTATCCCTAAGATTGACACGCCAAAAGGCGATGACAATCTTAGGGATCCGCCCTCAAAACATAGGGGAATCCCTAAGATTGGCATCGTGATGAGGAGGTGCCCAGCATAGGGACAGGGATATGTGCCAGGCTGGTAAAGAGTTCCCCCCTGGGTCTCCTGGGCCTCGAGGGTTCCGCCGTGGAGGGCGCGACCGTCCCCCCCCACCCAGAGTCGCTGGGCGCCCTGGGGTCTCGGGCTTGGGCTCCTCGTGGCAGGTCTCTCGAGGACCGGCCTCCGCCGGGAAGCACCCCCCGGCTGGCCTCCAGCGATTTCCCCCCTGGGTCTCCTGGGCCTCGAGGGTTCCGCCGTGGAGGGCGCGACTGTCCCCCACCCAGAGCCGCTGGGCGTCCTGGGGTCTCTGGCTTGGGCTCCTTGAGCGTCCTGGGGTCTCGGCCTCCGCTGTATGTATGGAGGGGCGTAGAGGGCCGCGGCGGCCTGCCGCCCCCCCCCCCTTCGAGCAGCGCAGACCACGAGCCAGCCCCAGGCAGACCGCAGCGACAACAACAACAACAACAACAACAACAACAACAACAACAACAACAACAACAACAACAACAACAACAACAAAACGAGAGCAGAAAAAAGGCAAGACAGCACAGAGGTAAGAGGAAAGACAGAGCAAAGGAAAGAGGAAAGACAGAACAAAAAGAGAAGCAAGAGGAAAGACAACGCAAGGGAAAGGGGAAACAAGCGACGCAAAAAGGAAAGAGGAAAAAGGGAACGGCGCCAGAGGCCATCAACAGAGCAAGCGAAAGACGATCGCAAGACATACGTGAGGCCCAGGAGGCCATCAACAAAACAGGCGGTTGACGTTCGCCCTCGGCGCAGATACGGCGCCGAAAGAAGCACCGGCCTGCGACCCCAGCGGGGGGGGGGAATCGCGGCGGGATTGAGATCCCCAACGGAGGGGAGGGGCCCAGTCCCGCCACGGCCTGTCCCCCTCCCCTGGTGGAGGCTCCCCCCAAGCCCTCGACCACCCCGCCAGCCTCCAGCCGACGGGAGGGGCCCCGGCTATCCCTGGGTCCTTGACGGGGCCTTGCTATCCAAGCAGAGGGGGCAGGCAGAGGAGGATGAGGAGGAGAAAGGAGGAGAAAGGAGGAGGTAATGGGAGAAAGGAGGTAGATGAGGAGAGAAAGGAGGAAGAGTTGAAGGATGAGGAGGAGGAGGAGGAGGAGGAGGAGAAGGAGGAGGAGGAGGAGAACGAGGACGGCAAGGACAAACGAGGAGGAGGGAGAAGGGAGGAGCGCGTAGGGAGGAAGGAGAAAGGAGGAGGCAGGAGGAAGGAAGGAGGAAGGAGGAGGAGGAGAAGGAGGAGGAGGAAAAAGAGGAGGAGGAAAAAGAGGAGGAGGAGGAGGAGGAGGAGGAGGAGGAGGAGAGGAGGAGGAGGCGGGGAGGGGGGGGTGGAGGAGGAGGAGGAGGGGGAAGAGGAGTAGGAGTAGGAGTAGGAGTAGGAGTCAAGCTAGCCAGCTCGAGCGAGTCAAGCATGGCATGCCCAGTCCCACCCGCCCTCCCACAACATAAGAAGCAAAGCTGGCACAACTGGGGGCCGAAGTCACACCGGCCAGCCGGTTTGGTACAGCTGATGCGGCCGCGATGGCGGTTGCCGACGGGAACTGGCGAGCGCGTGTTGAATGCCGCGCACGCATTGCCAGACGAGTCGAGAATGGCCCGGTACACCGCAGGAAGCCAGAGGTGGCCGGAGGAAGCCCGACGGTCTGACAGGACACCCCAAAGCATTTTTGTGAAAAAGCATTGGGTTTTTGATGTTTTTATGTTGAAATGCTTGCAAACACACGGTGTTCGGTAGGATTCTGACATGAACGCGCGAGTGTGCTCTTTGTGGTATTTTTTGCACAGGATTCGCGGCCTGGGTGCATGACAGAGCATCGCGAGTGCACCGCGCGATGACGTGAAATCGCTGGATTTGACAGAATTCTTAAGATTCCTATGGTTTCCTATGATTTCAGCAAGAGAGCCCGGGCGGGAAATTTGTACAATTTTTGTAAAAAAAAACATTGGGCTTTTGATGTTTTATGTTGAAATGCTTGCAAACACACGGTGTTCGGTAGGATTCTGACATGAACGCGCGCGTGTGTTCTTTGTGGCATTTTTTGCAATGGATTATCGCCGTGGACGACAGGACGTCCATGTCGAGAGGAAAAAATAAGAAACATGTTGATGTTGTATTGTTTTTTGCAGGTTAGGATGGGACCACCCGGATGCGCCCGCTATCTGCCGGCCTGAGGGGGGAGTAGGAGTATATTCTAATAAGGAATAAGGATAGGAGGAGGAGGAGGAGGAGGAGGAGGAGGAGGAGAGGGAAAGGTGAGCCGCAGGAGAAGAACGGGGACGATGAGAAGGAGGGGGAAGGCGGAGAAGGTGGGACAAGAAGGGACGGAGGGGCTTGTGGAGGAAGAAGAGGAGTAAGACTAGGAGGTGGAGGGGAAGGGGACGACGACGACGACGACGGAGATGGGCAGGCAAGGAGGCTGGATCTCCTCCGCGCCGGCAGTTTGCTGCACCCCCCCCGAGAGGAGGAGGAGCACGATGAGGACGGAGAGGCTGGCGACGACGGCGAGGACCCGCGAGCTGGGTCTCCGTGCTCGCCGCCGCGCGGAGCTCACATCTCCTCCTCCTGCTCCCCCTGCTCCTCCAACTCCTGCTTCCCCGTCTCCTCCTCCTCCTCCTCCTCCTTCTCCTCCTTTTCCTCCTTCTCCTCCTCCTCCTCCTCCTCTTCCTCCTCCTCCTCCTCTCAAGCAGATGTGGCTCGAGGTTCACACGTAGCTTTAGGCTTAGCGATGGGCCTCCAGCCGCGTCCAGTGCCTTCTCGAGGCGCTTAGGGGGCTCCGATGTTGTGGCAGGTTGGTTGCAGCAGGTGTCGGCTGGCGAGGCTAGACGAGCTTGTTGAGTACAGCTACGGTTGCGGTACACGGCGGCCGACGTCCTGCACACTTGGCATTGCTGGGCTTCGGGTTCTGCCGGGCAGGCGGTCAAGGTCTCGCCGGTGCTAGCCTGGGCATGTGCCGGTCGGTGTCATGCATGGCCTTGTTGGCAGGACCTCAATCCAGCATTGTTTGCATGGTATCGCCTTATTTGCTGGGAGCGGTATGGTGTTCTTGATTGCGCTCGAGGGGTACCCTATGGGTCTGTAGCGCGCATCGGGAGTAACACGCTCCCCGCATATTTAATGTCCTGCTTGTATGTCGGCTGTTTGCTTGTCAATTGTTTGAGTCCCGCTATAATGCCAACGCGCTATCTCCGGTGATTGCCACAGCACTACGGTTATGTATGGGTGCCATTCGTGTTGTTGCATTCGACGGGTGGGTGGTCAATTCCGCTGGGCTGGTACTCAGGGTTTGCGGTGGGCGTCGGGGAGGATCGAGGGCCTCAAGGTGTTCATGATGTGAGTCGGGCAGGCAACCGTCTTCCCTTGATACGATTCTGACTTCGTCATTGGTCCCATTCCCATCCCTCTTCCTCCTTATCCTCCTCCTCCTCCTCCTCCTCCTCCTCCTCCTCCTCCTCCTCCTCCTCCTCCTTCTCCCTCCTCCTCCTCCTCCTCCTCCACCTCCCTCCTCCTCCTCCACCTCCTCCTCCTCCTCCTCCTCCTCCTCCTCCTCCTCTTCCTCCTCCTCCCCCCCCTTCGTCCTCATTCGGCCTTCTCTGCCTCCCCCTACTCCTCCCGCCCGCCCTGCCTCCGCTCGTCCTCTCCTCCTCGTCCTCCTCCTCCTCTTCCTCCTCCTCTCCTTCCAGTCTCACTAGGTCAGGTCCCCTGCCGCAGGGTCAGCGCCGCCTCGGTCACGTGCTCGCCGCGGGTCCGACGCCGGGGACAACCAGAGGGCGCGGCGGCTCCGCGGGGGCCTCGCCCAGGAGCCCCCCCTGGCCGCGCACGCCGTCGGCGGCCAGGCCGCGGGCCACTCCCACGGAGGGAGCGCGGTTGCTTCGCGCGGCCGACGGGCTGCTTCGCGCAGCCGTCGTCATGCTGGGCGCCCCAGAGGTGGTCCCCGTGCTGGCGGAGCCAGTGGGCGACGGCGGCACCTCGGCGCCGACGGCGGCGCCGCGGGCGCGGCGCCGCGGGCGGCAAGCCGGCCCTCCCTGGAGGCGAGGCGCGGGCGGCCTGGGCGGCGGTGGTGGAGGGCGGCGGCACGGCGATCGACGACGAGCCCCCCAACAGGTTCGATGACGCCTGGACAAATGATCCAGGAAAGGACGACAGCAATGTGAAGCCCACCATCGCCCCAGAAAAGCGCGCGCGCTTCCGCCGCGGGCCCATGCCTGGCGTGGAAACATTCGTCGTCGCCATCGGGGAAACCAAGGCCTCGGTCCGCTTTGACGCGGGCGGCCGCGACCCGCCCACCGGAGGTCTTGCTGGACTTCATGGAGCCGCTGGGTCTGGCGGGTGGTGGTGGCAGTGCGGGACGGTAGGGGCCTGGGCCAGCTTGCGGATAGGGCGCCGTCCCCCCTCATCCCCTGCTCGTGGTGTGCGTCTTCGGCCGGTACCTATCCATGCCCTTCTGATTGTGGCTGAGAGGCGTTTGGTCCGGGACCTCCTCCTCCTTTCTTTCCCCGTACCCACCTGGCTCCGCTTCTCCATAATTAGAGAAAGTTGTTACCTCGCGCTGCGTTTCTGGAAATTAGCGTCTGTTGGATGTTCAGATCATTGTCCGGCTTTTGTCCATCCAAATTGTTTGGGGCCGTTGGTGGTTTGGCCTTCACCTCGCTCAGGACCAGCCGCCGTCAATGCTGCGCAATCCACAATAATCCTCCTCTTCCTCGTCCTACTCCCCGTCCTCATCATAGTTGTCCTCCTCCTCCTACTTATCCCCCTCCTCGTACTTCTCCTCCTCCTCCTCCTCATCATCAGCATGTTTTTCCTTCTTTTCAAACGGTAGGTTACCATTGGAGCATTGCAGCGAATAAGGGTAGCAGGCATGGGCGGGTCCCTTGACATATGGCGCAAGGGATCCTTTTTGCGCGCCCGCCTTACAATGGTTCTACACATCGCTATACAGCTTCCGCTCTAAAGAACATCTCGTTCATTATCAGGTTTACATGTCTAGTTGGAGCGGAGCACTTTGCTCCGTGATCCATAGACGCGTTGGCCCGCGAGTCTCTTTTCCGTGCCGGTGGCGATCGCTCTAAGCCAGGCGGTCTACACGTTTTTGCTCTACGTTCGCACTGTTCGTCCCTGTCGCCGCGGCAAGCGACGTGCCCCGAGGGGCCGTCGGGGCCTTCCCGTCCCAGTCGCCAGGTCCGGCGCAGGTGACCCAGTACGAGTACCTCCACGAGTACGCCTACAAGAGGGGCGTCGCGCCCCGCGCCCCGAGTTCCCCCCTCGGCACTTTCGAGTTGTCTTCGAGATGATCTGGGGCCTTTCGTCGTCACAGCACTCGCCTGTGAGTGCCGCTGTCAGCGTCAGACCGTCAAGCGATCCGAGGTCCACGCTCACGGTGTCGGCGCACGGCCCCGAGCTATTCGCATCTGTTGCGGAAGCCCGAAGGTGAAGATGGAAAGGACGCACCGCCTTCATTACATCCGCATTTAGGTGTAGCCGAATATGTCAAGCAGTCGTTCGATCCGACGCTCACATCGTTGGCGTCGGCGGGGCGCCCGGAGCACCCCGCAACTACGTCGTGGCAGCCGGGGGGGGGCGCGCACAGGCAAGAGCAGGAATGCACGGGAGGGTCGGGCAATGATGCTGCCATCTTTCCGGGGGACCGTCAGACAAGCTTGGGACTATTCGTTACCGGTTCTCTTGGGCAAGACCTTCGATGTTACCTACGCGCTCCCTGCTTCTTGGCAGACGTGGATCCCTATGCATACTCCTATTGACTATCGTACAGCCGACAGCGCGCAGCGCAGTGACAATACGACGCACTACGAGTTCTTTCGCAACTACGTGGTTGGCTGCTCCGAGTGCAGGCCGCACGCCAATCACGCGACAGAAGAGACGACCCAATACGCTGATGCGGAAGAGCATACCGGTGACAGATACCCACGACTGCTTCGAGGATCATTGCCAGAAACAGCTGTTTGTGGGTGCCAGGACTGTTGCGCCTCCTCGGCACTTGGAGTGGGTTCTACTCTGGACGGAAGGCCAGTGGAGCGGGCACGGTCGCTGCCATCAGCTGCATCGCCTGCATGGACGCGGGCGGCGGCGCCAGCGGCAACGTGCGACGCCTCCGCACTTGGGGCCCCGAGCGGCATGCTCGCGTGCCCTTCCAACGCTGGGCGCGGGAGGTAATGGTCTGGTCAGGGGCGAAATTAGACCTCAACGAGTTCTGCCGAGCAGTATCCGTCTCGTCTCGCCTGACTGGCGCGGCAAGTGAGTGCGCGGACGAGTGGCCGCCCGCCATCCTCATTCAAGGGGGCCATATCAACGGCAGCCCAGCGCCGCCCACGACGAACGGCGGGGCCAGCTCGGAAAGGAGGAGCGCGCACAGGCGGCATCGGTTCTGATGAACTTCAACCGATTGCCGCAGAAGCGCATCGACATCTCCTCGCCACGTGCGACATCCTCCGCAACAGGGCGCAGCAGGCAGGGCAACTCATGATCGAGGGCCCCAACTACCTCTTGCTGCGCGCTGTGGGTGCGTCGAACATCCATCTAGCCGTCATCTTGCAGCGCTGCAACAAGGCCTGCCCGACGGACGCGCCACAGCTGGCACGCATGATGGGCAAGCTACGCAGTTTTGGGTACATGATCGAAGGCTCGCCGGACAATCTCGCCTCGGCCGCGCATTCGCCCCTGCGCCGGGCGTTCCTCGCGGGCGCGCCAGCGCGCGATCGGGATCAGAGCGCTTATGGCACTGGGGCCGGATCGAGCTGGGATGGCACGGGTCATGCAGCCCAAGGAGCAGCACCGAGTCTATGTTCAGCACTGTTGGCCGCCCGCGCCGACGCAGCAGCAGCGCCTCTGGCGGCAAACCCAGCGGCGGGCTTCGACTCCGGCACCGACTCCGACACCATCTGTTCATTCGGACAAGACATCGCTGCCGACGACCCAAAGCTGCGCGAAGTTCCCGTGAAACAGCGCGGCGCACGCCTTCTCGGCCCACGAGCGCGCCGAGTCCCGATGGCGCCGTTTCGATCGCATCAAGCCCGCGCGCCGCGCGCGGAGGGCCATCGAGCGCAATGGCAAGGCCACGGAAAAGGCTACCACGCCTTCCTGGCCGACTGGTCCGACAACGTCCTCCGCGACACCTTCGCCGGCTTCGGGAACGGCAGGGGCAAGGGGAAGGGCAAGCAAGGTGGATTGGGATTCGGCCGACAAGGCAACCCACTGGGCCCAGACGGGACGCGTCTCGAGTGCCACGAGTGCGACTCAGAGGAGCACCTCGTGCGCGATAGCCCCCGTCGGCGCCAGCAAAGGCGCGCCCCCGTCCTCGGCGCCCCAGCCTCAGCGGCACCACCGCGGCCAGCACCAGCAGCCGCAGGTGCCAGTGTTTCGCCCGACGTCTCCTGGCAGGCAGTTGGCCACAGCGAGTGGTCAAGTTGGGCGGGTACTTCATCGTCTTCAGCATCGCCGCCCAACCCTCATGAGGTCGAACTTCGGCAACTACGCCAGGAGATGGACGAT